TTCTGTTTCTGTAATGTTATGTAAATTTCTAGTTGTAATCAAGCAAAAATCTGGATTAATTTTCTGCATTATTATATATATAAAAGAAATTGAATTACACATAATATAGTTCGATTGACCAGTCCTTGAGATCGACCCGGGAAACGAGTTTTTAACTCGGTGCTCGGAAAAATATAAAACAAAATTTGCTACAACAGCCAACGACGGACGACAGGCGTCGGGTGTCGAGCGTCGGGCGTTGAGAGTCAGTCTGGTGGCTCACAGTGATTGAGCGTGATTCCGAGAACTGTGTGTGTGTGTGTGTGTGTGTGCGCTGGCTTACGACTAGGATGGCATTGCCGACGGTGGAAGGCGCATTTCGGGGCTGTTATGGCGTAGCATGGACGACGGTATCAACTTGAAGAGATGTTGGAACGGCGGGGCTGCGGCGGGACTGGAGCTTCAGCGGCTGCGGCATCCATTGGACCGATAAGCACACGTCGGCATTGGGCCTGGTGGCTGGCAGGCGGCGGGCATCGGCGATGGTGGTCGGCTTTCTGCCGTGTGTGTGTGGGAGAGAGACAGATAATGTGTCGTTGTCTTATTGTGTGTCGGGCCCACTAATTGTGTGGTGTAGGAAAAATTACTAAACTACCCTAAGAGGACTATATTTGACCAATGTAACTTCAATTATTTATAAATATGCCATAGGGTCTTTAACTATTTTTAATCAATTTTGACTTATCATAACCACTGATGTGATGAATCCAATGGTGTAGATTTATTCTTATTTATTTCATTGTGATTCATTCTCATTTCAGCGCACCTATATATATATATATATATATATATATATATATANTAAAGTAGCCCTAACTTTTATCCCCTCTCTCCTCGCCTCTTTCCTTTCTTCGGATCAACTCAACTCTCGTGTGTGCCTTCCCTAGTAGGGTGTCGGTCGTCTCATTGGCTGCCGGCTCTGGCCAGAACGGATTGTCCCCGATATAATGTCGATATCGTCCTTGCGGTGTTGGAAGTGGAGGGTGGCCAAGGCAGTTTTCGTTGTGTTTCTAGCGCCGCTCTGAGGCATCGTCTTGGCCTCCTGGTGTCACCATGGTGATGGCGTTGATATGCTTCTGGGAGAGGCTGCGGCTCGGACTGCCTGGCGGTGTTGGTAGGGTGGCAGATCGGTGGGCTTTCACCCCTGGACCCTGTTTTCCCTGGTGCTCGGGGTTAAGGGGCTTTCACCATGTTGTTCTTGATGTTTTGCCAAATGTGGGAAGGGCTTTTCTAGTTTTAGTTTAGCTTTTGTTTGCTCGATTTTTTTTTTTTTTTTTTTTTTNGTTTGTATTTTTTGACTTGTTGTTTTCTTCCGTTTGGAAGTGTGTAGTCTCCCATGTGGGAGTATCTATAATCCATTATTGGAGCTTTGTAGTCTTTGTGTTAGTTTGTGGGTGTGTAGTCTAATTTCTTTTTAACTTAAGCTCTAGGTGATCATCGAATTTGTACTCTTATTTTTATTTGGCTTTTTAGTTGACGCATTCAATTTTGGACTGTATCTTTTAATTTGTACATTGTGTTGCTTTTTTATATATAAAATCTCTATCATTTCAAAAAGAAAAAAATAAAATAAAGAATATGATGCCCGACCTTATGATCTAGATTTGTAAAATGATTAATCAAATAAGCATTGGTCTGTTACGCGAATTAAGTAATTCGTCGACAAATAATATGAAAAAATGAACTTTTTTATTATTATGTTTTTTTAACGCTCATAATAATGCGAGTCGATAAACCTTTTTCGGAGTACATATTGTAAGTGGTCAAAATTTCCTTTGAAGACAATGACAATTGACACTTATCAAAACGAACTTTGTACTTGTCCAATAATTTTATAGTATTGAAATTTTTGAAAGCCTTGAACCACACAATGTCTTTACGTTACTCATAAATATATATATATATATATATATATATATATATATCAATAATAAATTTAGTAAGTCAAACATATAGGCTGAGAGGGAATATCAATGTCATAATATGTTGGTGGGGCTTTTGGCACGCCTGTGAATTGCACATTCATAACATCATACCACTAACAGATTTTTGTTGGACTCAAATAATGATTGGCAATGACCCCCAATATAACCAATAATCATTTTGTCTGTATTAATCTCTCTTATTTCTATATTAAGAAGTGTATGGCCTTTAAATGGCGACACGTGTCCAGTTTTGGGGCCTTAAAAACACAACACGTGTCCCACTTATTTACATTTTGGCCACTGAATTTTCACAGTTGTGTTTGCGATTGTGTGTTGAACTAAATTTACGAAAGTACTCTCATTGTTTTTTTTGTGACTGATTTAAAAACTTGGCTTTTTGGTAATTGCATTTCAACTTATCGATTTTCCCGGAATTTCTGCTGTTTTTGCTCCATCTCCCATCAGAATCCTACCTAATATTGATTTCCTGTACGATATGTCCCCTAAATCTTCAAACACAATATACGCACGCCATCTTCCGTTTCTTCCGCTTCAAATAGCCCTAAATCTTCTCCCATTTATTTTTTTATGCTTTGAAGCACCACCAACAATCCCCATACGGCGATTTCGCACACCATTGTCAAATTCAGTCCTCTAAACCCACTTTTATGAGCTTCTTAGGTTGCAGGGTTCCTCCACAGTACCTCCGGATGGTCGCTGCTGGACTAATTCCCAGTCGGGTGGAGCCTACTGCTATAGTCCATCATTGAATCCAACATCACTGCCGCGAAGATGAAGGCCTACGGATATGCCGGTGAGTGGTTCTATCTACTGCTATTTGCAGTTTATTTTTTTTTTAAAATTGTGCTTCTGTGCCTTTTTTTTGTGAAATTAGGGTTCGTCTGCCAACATTTTCCCGTGGAGATTGCCGCTTTGAAGCCCCACGCCGCACTTACAGTAAGATATACGATTCTAAGGTTAGCGTGTACAGTCATAAATGCACTTATAGGTTTGATTTTTCATCTAATGGGCTGACGACCGTTCTTGAGTTTTAAAGGAAAGTGAATTTCTTAATCTGAAATCTTCTAAGTGGTGTGTCCTTTCCAAATAGACCAAAATGAAGGTAGGTTTGAGGACGAGAGAGATGATTCCAAGAAACGAGTAACAGCGACCTATTTTTCGAATATTCTTTTTTTTTTTTTCGGGTCGGTCTCCCTTTCGATGTTCTGGTATTTATGTGTGTTGCAGTCAAAATTTGGTTTTAAAAAGTTAGAACCTTTAAATTTGTTCATCAGTGATGTTTTAAAAATTGGATCCTTTCAAAAGTTGGAACCAGTGTTTCTCCTGTTGTTGGTGACGGTTATTGTCCCAATTCCTCCAAAATTTTCTTTAATGTGTAGTAGAATATTTGTCTTTATTGTACTGTATTGTTATCCTAATATGTTTATGTTTTGCTATCCTGTTCTTACAGCCAGGGATGAGTTTGTAGATGTTGTTTCTACCTTTGTAAGTTCTCCTATTTTACATTGTCAATTTGTGCCTTTTCATTTTGATTTATGTTTTTCCTGATAAGAGGTATGTTGAATTCTTGGTTTCATATTTTCAGACTTTTGTTGGTGCAGTCAAGGCATTACATGTGCTTCCTCAGGTGTATACTTCTTGTCATACCCTTAAATTTTTTGTTGCTTCAAATGTATTGATTATAAGAAATTTTATATCTTTGTGTGATTTGATTAACTGTGTTTACTGTTTATAATTGATAGGAATCACCTACCTCATTGAAAAAACCATTGGGCATTGTTTATTCAAAAAAAATCATCGTAATCCAGTATAGAAGGCTCGAATGGTAACTCCCAAGAAAACGTTCGCATTACTAGACAACTCACTGGAGGTTTTTTTTTATAAAAAAAAAATCCATTTTTTTGTTTATGTTTTTGCGCTTGATTCATGAAATTAGCTACCGAATACTATTCATTTGATTTTTTGGAATATCCAGATCATCCTCTTGGAGCAGAATAGACGTGAAAACCAGTCTTTGGACGAAAATCCCATCAGGAAAGTTACTGATCAGGTGCAGGAGGCAGCCCATATTTCAGGGAAAGAAAATTCAAACAGAAAAGAATCGCAAATTGAGAGTAAAAATGGTGCTGGTCAAAATGGCGTGAGGAAAGACATTAATACCAAACATCTGAAGGGTAAATCTGAAACCTATTGTGGAAAATTGTAAGAAGGTTTTTACTATTGAAGGAGCTATGCATTATTATAGTTAAACTTTATTTGTATCAAATTTAGTAACAATGTTTAAAAATATATATAAATTAGACTGATCATTTCAAGAGATGACAATTTAATTATATTTTAGACTAAAATATGACCTGCAACAAGTGATGACAAATTTTTAGTGTATTTCTAGACTGAATTTGAGTCCGCCGTGCGTGCACGGCGTAACCCAACTAGTATTTACATATATGTTGGTATCGCGAAATTATTTTAATTTTGGCTCAATATATTCGGGATTATTATTTAAGCACTATAATCTTATTTTAATTTAAATACAAATTAAGATATTCATTCATACTGCATGATAGACAACTAGAATCAAATGATGCAAACGTTGGAGTTATTATGATCGATTGATTTTTACATATTTGATACGACCATAAGTAGCGGTTCATGGAGGACCGGCGATAGGCCGAACTTAGACATAGTGAGGCGCGGTTGTCCAGGGGATGAGGTAGCTAGACGAGGACTAGTTCAACGAAGTACAAGAGATTGATGAGCCAGGCGAATGGGAGCTAGGCAAGGACTAGCTAGGCGAAGATTAGCTCGGCATGAGCTAGGCGGGATACCAAGAGATTGATAAGCTAGGCGAATGGGAGCTAGGCGAAGACTAGCTAGGCGAGGACTAGGTAGACGAAGACTAGCTAGGCGAAGACTAGCTCGACATGAGCTAGGCGGAATACTAAGAGATTGATGATCTAGGCGAATGGGAGCTAGGCGAAGACTAGCTCAACATGAGCTAGACGGAATACTAAGAGATTGATGAGCTAGGTAGATGTGACTAGTCAGCTAGGCATCTCAGCAGCTAGGCGCCTAACCAGCTAGGCATCACAGCACCTAGGCATCTCAACAGCTAGGCATCACAGCACCTAGGCATCTCAACAGCTAGGCACCTAGGTAGCTCGGCAAGAGGGTCATGCCGAGGGGACCAGAGGCGGGAAGTGGCTTGGTGGCCAAGTTAAGAGGAGGTTTACCACCTCAAGGACTCTGCAAGATTTGAAAATCTTGGACATGATCGAGAAGTAGACGCCATAAGGACTTTTATTCCATTTAGAACTCCTCGAACTGTGCAGGACTCCACCTATAAAAGGGGCATAGGTTCATTCATTTTACACAACACACATATGCACTATCTTGTTACTCTGCCGTTTTCTCTCTCGGCTACACGACTAACTTGAGCGTCGGAGTGTCCACGCCGGGACCACCCCCGGCGTGTTTTGCAGGTACCGACGATCAAGGAGACACAACCCGATTCGAGAGAGGCGGTCAAGCGGTTCGAAGATTTGTGGTATAACAAACTGGCGCCGTCTGTGGGGAACTCAGTCTTCTACCGGAGTATCAGAGGATGTTCTTTCTCACAAAAGAAGAAGAAGAAGAAGAGCTAAAAGGATCATGGCTGGAGATAACTCGAAGAAGAACTCGACGAAAAAAATAGATGTGGCGTGGACTCAGAGGGCTTTTGGAGCAGGGCCACCACCGGGATGGTCGTCGTTGCCTACTACCCCCAAAGAGACGCTGCCAGCTCTGAGCCTGACCTTGACACTGGCGACAGAAGCTCAGGGGCGCTTGGCGAACCCAGAAGAACCCGGTGGTTCGACAGATAAGGGGAAGGAGCTAGGCACCCCGGTCGATGGAGGAGTGAACCAGGTAGTTTTGGGAGTCGAGGGTAGCGGTGGTCAGTAGGACTCCCTTGATAACGGGTAGGTGGTCGTGGCAGGAGGACGAAACCCTCCGGAGGACAATCCTCCTCCAGCACCAAGGGGGGATCAGGTCATTCAGATGACCAGGTCAGAGTTTGATAGGATCATTGCTGAAGCGATAGGCCGAGCTCAAGAGGTGGATAGGAGGGCTCCTAATGAGTCGGTTCGGAAGCCTCCACCACAGCAGCCATCTGCGCCTCAACAGTAGCACCAACGTTAGGAGAGAGGCGAGGATGACGACACCAGAACGTTAACCTCCCATCCGACTACGCTGGCACAGCCGGAGGGGTTAACTTTAGAGAGGTTGGCAACTCAAATGCGCAAGCTTCAAGCGCGCGTCCAGGGGTGGAGACCCACAGTTTCACGAGGGCATCCTTTTGCAGAGGGCGTCTAGGAGGGGATTTACCTAGCAACTTAAGGGAGCTGAGTTTGTCTTATGATGGGTCGACGGACCCAGCTAGGCACTCGCGGTCGTTTGATAACATAGTTGTGTTGCACAAATATAGCGACGCTGTCAGTTGCCGAGCTTTCCTGAAGACCTTAAAGGGGTCGACGCAGGATTGGTTCCACTAGCTACTAGCAGGATCTATTGATAGTTTTGAGAAGTTTAGCTCTCTGTTTCTGAATTAGTTTGCGAGCGCCCGGAAGCACGAGAAGACATATCTCTTGCTAATCAATATGCAGCAGAAGGAAGGGGAGACCTTGCGGCAGTATGTAGCGCGATACACTAAGGAGTGCGTGGAGGTTCCCTCTGCCTCAAAAGAGATCAAAGCTGGAGGTCTCACACGGGGTTTGAAGCCGGGAAAATGCAGGGACTCATTGGCAAAGAGGCCGGCGAGGTCCTTCGACGAGCTTCTTGAAAGGTGTAGTAAGTATGTTAATATGGAGAAAGTAGAAGATGATTTCATCCAGAATGACAAGACAAAGGCGAAGCAAGCAGAAGAGAAACCCCGTCAAAGCGACCGACGAGCTGACCAAAATGAGTCCAAAGCCGAGGGTTGATTCAAGGGTCCGAGGTATGAGCATTACAAACCGCTTAATGCGCCACAATAGGAGATCCTAGAGATTATGGAGGAGCAATGAGAGACCAAGTTTCTTGCACAACCTAAGCCTTTCCCCCCACCACAAAAATTTTCTGCATGAAAGGACCGTATTGTCGGTATCATCGCGACTATGGCCACTCCACCAATCTTTGTCGAGAATTGAAAGATGAAATTGAGCGTCTCATTAGGACTGGATATTTGAAAGAATTTGTGATTAAGGATAAGGAGTGCCAAAAGGAGCCCCACGAGGGGCGCGAGTCAGGCGATAAACGAAAGAGGACGGATGAGCAACCTGACAGGACAGTAAAGAAGAGGGTGATCCACATGATCGCAGGGAGTCCTACGGATGGAGATTCACATAGGAAAAGGAAGAGGACTTATCGAGGAAAAGGTGTTGCCAACGAAGTGGCCGAGGTGTAGGTGCAGAAGAGTTCGGCTACTCTACGATTTGGAGCTGATGATGTGCAGGGACTTGTTATCCCACATAATGATGCCTTGGTCATCACGGCGGAGGTGGCCAACTATGATGTGCAGAGGATGCTCACAGATACGGGAAGCTCGACGGACATTATTTTATGGAAGTGTCTGCAGTAGATGGAGTTAGACATGAAGGTTGAACCCGTTCATACCGCTTTCTATGGTTTCAACGATAGTGAGGTCCACCCCGTTGGCGAGGTTAGTCTGACTGTGGCGTTGGGGTGGTCACCGTTAAGAAAGGTAAAAATGATCCGCTTCTTGGTTGTGGATGCTAGCTCGGGGTACAACATCATACTGGGGCCGCCAAGCTTGAATTCATTCCAGGCTGCTGTTTCTACTTATTGCATGAAGATCAAGTTTCCCTTAGAAAATGAGGTTGGCGAAGTAACAGGGGATCAATTGCAGTCTCGACGGTGTTATGAGGTTACGTTGAAAACTGCTGAAGCGCAGAATAAAAAGAGGAAGGATGAACTGTCCGAGTTCTCGCGCCAAGAAAAAAGACAAGAATTAGGGATAGGCTCTCAAATGAATTGATGAATGTCGAGCTAGAAGGGAGGCGCTTGATCTGATGGACAAGTTGCGTGACCAGACGGGATTGAGGATGAAGGTTTACAAGCAGCGAATGAAGGTTACACATGACAAGTCAATTCGAGCCCGGCGATTCCAGGTCAGGGACTTGGTTTGGCGTCAGGCGGATGCCTTGAAGCATGTGGGGAAGTTGGAGCCCAATTGGGAGGGACCCTATACTGTCGAAAGGGTATTTGCCGCGGCCATGGAACATATCACATTTGAAGAAATATTATGCCTAGCTTAAGAAGGCGAAAGCCTGTCAGTCTCGTCTAAGCTCGCGGAGCTAGGCGACGATCTTCGTATGGCAAAAGCCTGTCAGTCTCGTCTAACCTTGTAGAGCTAGGCGACGACCTTTGTAGGGCGCAAGCCTGTTAGTCTCGCTTAAGCTCGTGGAGCTAGGCGACGACCTTTGTAGGGCGCAAGCCTGTCAGTCTCGTCTAAGCTCGCGGAGCTAGGCGACAACCTTTCTAGGGCGCAAGCCTGTTAGTCTCGCTTAAGCTCACGGAGCTAGGCGACGACCTTTGTAGGGCGCAAGCCTGTCAGTCTCGCTTAAGCTCTCGGAGCTAGACGACGATTTACAAAAGTAGCGTCCACAACCTGTTGTGTTCGGCAATGTCTGTCGTAAAACGGTCACCTCAGCGGGGGTCATCGTACGATGTCGAACATGTAGGTCTTGTAGGACTTAGCAATAATTGTGCTGGTGCAAAAGCCCGTTCTCACGATGCTAAGTTTTCACAAGGCTTGGTGGGTGGGTCTTACCACTTAAGACAAGGAAATAGGGTTCGAACATGTAGCACGGCTAGGCATAGGCGTCTTGGAGGACGTCGTAGCTGGGAGAGCTAAGGCGATTGGAGGTGATCCTAAGGGGGAGAATGTGAAAGAGAAAGGGAGGTCGAACTTGTGCTACTCTTAGAGGAGGATGGTTCTAACGTTCATGTAGTCGGAACAACGATCGATAATATATAAAGAAAGCAAGGCGTGAAAACAAAAAACAAACAAACAAAAAAGGAAGAGGAATGAAGAAAGCAATATGTAGTGTGTTGAGGCCCGCACCAGCTCGACATTGTGCGACCTTCGTCAGCTCGGCGTTGCAAGGAGCTCGGTGGTCCGTGCATCGCGCGTCAACATCCGCATTTTGGGTGGAGCTCTCGGCGCTTCCCAGTCCACGTGCAGCTCGGCATTGTGGGCAGCTCGACACCTTGGGCAGCTTGGTAGCTCGACGGTGCATACTCGACAGCTCGACGTGCCTCGGTAGTACAGTTCGGCACCTTCACGCGGGCAGCTCGGTAGCAGGCGGTCCCTCGCGCAACCCCGGCAGCTCGGCAGCTCGGCGATGCATACTCGACAAAGAAGCTCGGCGTTATGGCTAGCTTGGCAGCTCCAGTGGATCTCGGCCTCTCATGGTACCCTGCTTCTTCGTGACAGCTTGTTTGTTGGGCGGGATGTGCGTCACCTCGCCCATTAGGTCCGTAGCTCGGCACTTCGCAAGAGGGCGTGTAACTCAACACTCCATGTGACGGGTAAGTTGGTGCGTGTTCGGCTAAATCAGCCAAGCATGAGATAGGCGGAGCTCGCGTGAAAGTTTATGAGATGTGGTTGATAAACAAAGGGGTTGAAGAAATTAAACTTGTCGAGCTACCCGTAGCTCAACCGAAGAATGGGGGGGATAGATGATACGACCATAAGTAGCGGTTCATGGAGGACCGACGATAGGCCGAACTTAGACATAGTTAGGCGCGGTTGTCCAGGGGATGAGGTAGCTAGGCGAGGACTAGTTCGGCGAAGTACAAGAGATTGATGAGCCAGGCGAATGGGAGCTTGGCGAGGACTAGCTAGGCGAAGATTAGCTCGGCATGAGCTAGGCGGGATACCAAGATATTGATGAGCTAGGCGAATGGGAGCTAGGCGAAGACTAGCTAGGCGAGGACTAGCTAGACGAACACTAGCTAGGCGAAGACTAGCTCGGCATGAGCTAGGCGGAATACCAAGAGATTGATGAGCTAGGCGAAGACTAGCTCGGCGTGAGCTAGACGGAATACTAAGAGATTGATGAGCTAGGAAGATGTGACTAGTCAGCTAGGCATCTCAGCAGCTAGGCGCCTAACTACCTAGGAACCTAGGCATCTCAGTAGCTAGGCAGCTCGGCACCTAGGCAGCTCGGCAAGAGGGTCCTGCCGAGGGGACCAGAGGCGGGAAGTGGCTGGTGGCCAAGTCAAGAGGAGGTTTACCACCTCAAGGACTCTGAAAGATTCGGAAATCTTGGACATGATCGAGAAGTAGACGCCATAAGGACTTCTGTACCATTTAGAATCCCTCGAACTGTGCATGACTCAACCTATAAAAGGGGCATAGGTTCATTCATTTTACACAACACACATACGCACTATCTCGTTACTCTGTCGTTTTCTCTCAGATACACCACTAACTTGAGCGTTGGAGTGTCCACGCTGAGACCACCCCCGGCGTGTTTTGCAGGTACCGACGATCAAGGAGACACAACCCGGTTCGAGAGAGGCGGTCAAGCGGTTCGAAGATTTGTGGTATAGCAATATTATATGAGGCTCAAAATTTTACCGACTTCATTATTTTTGTGATGGCAAAATTTTGGACCTTGTGGAATCAGATTAAATTCGGATAATTCCTGTCCCAATAGTTTTCATTTTAAGATGTGTAGTCTTTCGAAATAAAGTTGATTGAGTGAGTGATTGAGTGAGTTTTTGAGTTTATAATTAAATAATATTTAAAATATAATGATTAAAGTTGATGTGACGCAATAATAGGAGATATGTTATTGGAAGTGAGAGTTAGTTAAAATTATATGAGTGAATGAACATTAAGTTAATGTTAATGTGATGTGTGTGGATGATTGATTGATATTATTGAATTATATTGACAAAATGTTGTAAAAGGTTGAAAAATGTTGATTTTGGTGTTGGTCTATAGGTGTTCGATGAAATTACTCTTCCATGTTTGGATGTTTCAGCTGCTTGAAATTACGCAGTCATTTTTTTTGGTCTGATGGGATCACGAATTTTGATGAATAAAGATGATTCGTTTCAATTTCTATCTTGTTTATGCAGGAAAGAGATTTCTGGGTTTCCTGCCGAATATAATAAGCTCATTCGATGGGTGTGAAATCTCATGAATTTATGGAGAAGAAGCAACACATAGCGATATTTACCACGGCAATCCTTCCATGGCTGACTAGGACTGCTGTCAACCCTCTGTTCCGGGCAGCTTTGTAACACCCCGCTTATCAGAGTAAATTTTTCGCAACTTTTACTTCGAAAATACTTATAAATCTTTCAAAATCTTTTGCGACTAACTCGGGATGCTACTCAAACTTATCTTTTCTAAAAATCCATTTATCTTTAAACTTTATCTAATACTACTTTAGACATAAAGAAAACAGATTTATTTAAACTTGCATTTAAATGTACTATATTCATACTTCTGAAATGGTGAAAACCCGAAACCTGAAATTTATTAAAATGCAAGTTCAAGTCTTAATATGCGCAGCGAAAATACTTAAAAACATGATTAATTATACAGACTATTATAAATGTCCACATAAAAGCTTGTCACAGTCTGAGTCCACGATCCACACCAACACTGCTACACTCACACCTCCTCTTCGACCTGTTACCTGAAAATAAACTTATGGGGATGAGTACTAAATAAAAATAATCATAAACCGGTATCTAACCGGTAACCGATATCTAATCGGTAGCTGGAACCAGAAATCTGTTATGGTACTGAAACTGAATATTTAAACTGGCCGATATCTGATCAGATACGTGTGCTCACTCTGATGGATATTTCTTAAGGCAACTGAGGGCCTCCATCAGAACTTAGGATGTACTAATAAGGCAACTGAGAGCCTTCATCCCAAGCGTATTAACTGGATGATATCAATATCGTACTCAATGTAATACCCACTCTGGGTCCCCACCTTTCTTCTTTAAAAACTTTTGAAAAATGGTAAGTGCTGTGCTGGGTAACTGTATCTGCGAGTTACATAAAAATATAAACAAATATACTAAGTACTATGCTCGTATACTCAATAAGATACTGGGATTCTTAACTCTAACGGATAACTTATCCAAATCTTAAAGAGATTCAATAGACATGCTATTTCTTATATTAATACTAAACTTAACTTTTCTTGAACTTTTACTCAAGGTCAATTACTTAACCCATATAAATCATGTCTTCAAAATCTTAGATATTGGCTTATATTCGCATGTCACTTAAATAACTCGAGTGTGAAAATAACTAAATTTCACACTATACTTGATTGAGTACATGAACTCAAAACATGCTTATCTTTTACCAACTTCATATTCATGATTTATAAAACTTTATAAACTATTAAACTTATCTTAAACTTGCTTGGAACTAAAAATTTCAACTTAATACTCATACAATTCAACTTTTAATCATAACACTTAATTATGATTTTAATATGTGAGACTTAAAACAATCTTTATAAAATTGCATACTCAACATATTAATCTAAAACTTTGTCAAATTTTTCATTTACTTATATGAGAATATTTCATAATAATCTCACTTTAAAAACTTGAACATATAATGAATATTTTTGCATATATAATCATCCTTACGTATATGCTATCTAATTATCTTAACTCATTCATTTCTCAACTTTAAATCATGAAATTTAACAGTCATGTTTTTAACTCATAATTAGACATGTCATAAAAATTTCATAATTTTAACATGCATATACCTCAAGTTATTAGAATTTAAAGTCACAACTGAAACAGTGAACATAAAAATTCAGCTTGCATGCTCATCTTCAAAAATCTATAACTCAAGCTATACTATGCCGAATAAATTAATTCTTGTTCTTATGTACTCCTTATTTACACAAGAATTACTCATTTTAATCATACTTTTCCAGCTATTTCTTATCCTTATAAACATCTCAATCAAATCAAGCACATATATCATATAATTGATCTTGAAACAACTTTAACTCCTTCTATTCATAGAATCAATTATGAACTCAACTTCTAAATCTTTGCGATATATACTCATAAACATCTAAACTCATTAAGAAAACATGAACTTTTAATATGAAACTTAAGATGAATAAATTACCTTCTTCTTGCTAGAAATCGAAACTTGATTCTTCACTTCCAAATTCTTCACTTCACCAAATTTTCTACTACTTATGCTCTCTTATAAACTTATATAACTTTTGATAATTTTCTTTGGTGTAAAAACTCTGAATTTTAGACCTCTATTTATAGACACAAATTGAAGACATGATGATGGAGTGAAGAAATTAACATAATAAACAAAATAAAACTTATAAACATAAACAAGGTAAAGACTAACTTGTATACTTCTCAAATGCATAAATAATGCTTGAAAATTGACTCTAGTTGAGATCACAATCGGATTCTTAATAATCAGATCTTTCTGTCGGTCACACGACTCATGTGGCATGTCACACGACTCGTGTGACCTCACATGACTCGTGTGGCTTAGGTCACACGACTCGTGTGACTCCACACGACTCATGTGTCTTGTCACACGACTCGTGTGAAAAAGCCGAAGCTAACTTACATTTTTTTTTCCATCCACACGACTCATGTGGCATGTCACACGACTCGTGTGGCTTGTTCCTTGAACAACTCTTAATTTCGAACTTATAACTGAATATCTTGACCTCAAAACTAGTTCAATCTTGGAACTAAAACTATTACTTTAATTAATAACTGAAAGGGATATTAAAAGCTTACCTGGAAACCTTGGTGATCCCCTGGTTGAAACTGAAGGATCAAGAGCACGTCTACCCAAACAATATAACCTTTAGCTCACCGGCCGAACAGAAAAAGTATGTCCAGAAAAATCCGCCGAGCCCGTGTTCTCGGTCGTCTTCTCGACTTTTCTTGGCAACTTGTATCCTCTCAAGGTCTTTCTCTTGATCCTCCCCGTTGTTTTTGGTTGCTCTCTAGCTGCTGTGACTATTTCGAAGGTCTGTGTTAGAAATTGTGAGTGTAAATTACCAACTAATATTCCAACCATTTGATGCTTATTCTTCCAACCAATTTGATGCTTATTCTCCTAACCATTTGATGCTTATTCTTCCAACCAATTTGATGCTTATTCTCCCAACCATCACTTAAACTTGTGAATTTATTAAACCACTTGGATGTTGAATATTCAGACATTTGATTCAACCAATTGTTATTAATGGTGTTATTAATGTGAGTGGTTGGGCAAGGGTGTATTAATTATGGTGTCTTGCATCATCTATAAAAGAGAAAGACACGTAATAAGAAGAAGGAGACGAAAAATAAAAGAAGAGAAAGAGAAGTGGGAGAAAAGGAAAGGTAGAGAGAGAAAAGAGGAACAAAAGAAAAATAGAAAAAGAAAAAAAAATAATCTATATTTTTATTTCTATTTTCAGTGCTCAATTCTCGACTCCGTTCCAGTTCGCCGAAGCTCGCAAATCTGGTGTGCTACAGATTTAGAGACGTATGCCGTTGTATCTTTTGGGAAGTTATGCCTGAACTGTTAGCTGACACACGGGGCGTATTCTTCTTGCGGAAAGAGTTTTACTCGCCTCGGCTAAAATCTTTCCATTTTGTTTTAATTTATTTTTCAGTTGTAATTTATTTTTCAGTTCGATTGTAATTTTCTATTTTTAGACCATTTGTAAGAACTGAAAATAAAAATACATATCAGTTCGTAAGATTCCAGTGTATTTTGACACTGATTTCTAACAATCGCAAGAAGAATATTATCAACCTACTGGACTGATGGCTTCCACAGGAAATGGTTCCAATACTCAGCATCCAATCAACCACATACCTGTTGTCCACGTCCCTACTGCTGAGAAGCCCAAAAAATTCAATGGACTTGATTTTAAAAGGTGGCAACAAAAGATGCATTTTTACCAAACCACTTTGGGTTTGGTGAAATACCTGAAGGACGACCCCGCGGTTATTGCTGAAAATGAGACCAATGCTGAACTAAACACTACGTACGAGGCTTGGGGGCAAGGTGATTACCTTTTTCGTAACTATGTCCTTAACGGACTTAGTGATGAGTTGTACAATGTGTACAGCTCGGTTGGTTCTGTCAAAGACCTTTGGGCTACTTTGGAGAAGAATTACAACTGTGGAAAACCGAGTGCCCTTGTGGCTGAATACGGCCATGTGCCGGGTGAAAAGACCGACATTGATGTGTCGGCAGTGGTGTTTGAAGCTAATATGGTGGATAACACAAGGGAGTGGTACATCGATACTGGTGCCACTCTTCATGTGTGTTCCGATAAGGAGGTGTTCTCTGAATACACTCCTGCTACGAGTCGGAAACTTTACATGGAAAACTCCTCCACGGCTGATGTGGCTGGAGTGAGCACTGTGGTGCTGAAGCTGACTTCTGGAAAGGAGTTGAAGCTTAAGGATGTTCTACATGTCCCAGACATCTGTAAGAATTTGGTCTCCGGATCTCTTCTTGTTGAGCATGGATTTAGGCTGGTTTTTAATGCTAAGAAGTTTGTTCTTAGCAAGTTTGGAACATTCCTTGGTCTTGGCTATCTCGACAAGGGTTTGTTCAAAATGAATGTAATGGCCAAAAGCCGTGTAACCGTTGATAATGAAAAGCTTATTTCTGTTTATACCATTGAGTGCTCTGATTTATGGCATATTAGATTGGGATATGTAAATCTAAATGCAATTAAACGGTTGATGAATTTAGAATTAATTCCTAATTCTAAAATTTGAAACTAATACAAAATGCGAAATTTGTATTGAAGCAAAAATGGCTAACTTGCCTTTTTCACTCGGTGGAAAGGAGTACTGAACCATTAGGCTTGATCCATACTGATGTATGTGATATAAAAGTGTGCAAACAAGAACAGGTAAAAAGTATTTTATTACTTTTATCGATGATTGCATAAGATTTTGCTACTTATATTTGTTAAGAAGCAAAGACGAGGCCGTGGAAGCGTTTAAAATCTATAAGATCAAAGTTGAAGATCAACTTGGCAAGAGGATTAAAATAATCCGAAGTGATAGGGGTGGGGAGTATGTAGCTCCTTTTGAACAAATATGTTCTGAATATGGCATAATTCATCAAACGACGGCCCCTTATTCTCCACAGTCAAACGGTGTTGCTGAACGCAAGAACCGTACGTTAAAAGAAATGATGAATGCCATGTTGATAAATTGAGGATTACCCCAAAACATGTGGGGGGAAGCTGTTTTAACAGCAAATCATATTCTGAATAAAATACCACCTAAAGGGAAAGATGAGACTCCTTACGAAATGTGAAAAAATTGTAAGCCGTCTTATAAGTACCTGAAAGTGTGGGGGTGTTTGGCTGAGGTTTCAGTACCGGAACCCAAATAAATGAGAATCTGGCGAAAGACGGTCGATTGTGTATTTATTGTATATGCGTACAATAGTACAACATATAGATTTCTAGTTCATAAATCAGAAAATCCAGAGGTATCTGTTGGTACCACGATTGAGTCGAGAAATGCTATATTCTTTGAGAATATTTTTCCTCTGAAGGAAATGGCAGAATCTAGTTTTAATAAACGAACGTAAGAAACTGCTAGTGGTTCTGTACCAGATGGTACTGATGAAGAACCGAGACATAGTAAAAGGTTAAAAACGGCAAAAACGTTTGGACCTGAATTTGTTACTTACATGTTGGACGATGAACCGAGCTCCCTTAAGGAAGCTCTGTCCAGGCCAGATGGACCACTCTGGGAAAAAGCTGTAAATAGCGAAATCGAGTCCATTATGCAGAACCATACTTGGGAGTTGGTTGATCTCCCTGATGGTTGTAAACCTTTAAGATGCAAGTGGATCCTAAAGAAGAAATATAAAGCAGATGGATGGATTGATAAGTTTAAAGCACGATTGGTGGTCAAAGGCTTTAAACAAAAGGAATGGTATGATTTCTTCGATACTTATTCACCAGTTACGCGTTTAGTTAAGAGTGCTTCTCTCGATTGTTGCTTTGCACAATCTTGAGATTCACCAAATAGATGTAAAGACGACATTTTTGAATGGTGAATAGGAAGAAGAAATATACATAGAACAACTCGAAGGGTTTGTTGCACCTGGACAAGAGAGAAATGTGTGTAGATTGATCAAATCCTTGTACGGACTGAAACAAGCTCCGAAACAATGACATTTGAAATTTGATGATGTGATGTCAAATGGGTTCAAAATCAATGAATATGACAAATGTGTTTATGTCAAGGGTACATCAAATAAATTTGTGATTGTATGTCTATATGTAGACGATATGTTGATCATGGGGAGTAGCCATGAAGTGATCATAGATACGAAAAGAATGTTGAAAAGAAATTTCGAAATGAAAGATATGGGTTTGGCTGATGTTATTCTTGGAATAAGGATTATCAGAACCCAAGATGGAATTGTCTTGTCACAATCTCATTATGTAGAGAAAGTGCTCAAGAAATTTGATGCCTATGACAGTGCACAGTCTAGGTGTAAAACACCCCTTGATCTTAATATAAATCTGGTAACCAATAAAGGTCAACCAGTGGCTCAGTTGGAATATTCACGGATAATAGAGAGTCTGATGTACCCGACGAATTGTACACGACCAGACTTGGCCTATCCGGTGAATAAGTTGAGCAGATTTACGAGCAATTCCAGTTATGAGCACTAGAATGCTTTGAGAAGGGTACTTAAGTACTTGAGGTACACCCTTGAATACGGGCTAAAATACTGGAGATATCCAGCCGTACTTGAAGGGTACTGTGATGCAAGCTGGTTATCAGAATCGAGGGATTCTCACTCCACTAGCGGATATGTTTTCTATATTGGAGGATGTGCAGTTTCGTGGAAATCCACAAAACAAACGTGTATAGCTCGGTCAACGATGGAATCGGAGTTCATCGCTTTAAATAAAGCTGGTGAAGAAGCCGAGTGGCTTAGAAATTTTTTATCTGCTATTCCATGTTGGGATAAGACTTTGCCGCCTGTGATGATTCACTGTGATAGCCAAGCTGCTATAGGTAGGGTGCAAAGCAACTTGTATAACGGTAAGTCTAGACATATTCGTCGTAGACATAATACCGTACGCCAATTGATCACAAATGGTGTTATTTCCATTGACTATGTGAAGTCTAAGGAAAATTTGATTGATCCTTTGACGAAAGGATTGAATAGAGATCAATTGGAAGTTTTGCTAGAGGGAATGGCCTTAAAAATCCACAATGTAAAGAATGATCATAGTGGTAACGCTACCATGATGAATGGAGATCCCATGAACTTGGTTCAAAGGGAAAACTAAACTATGAAAATTCAGTTGAGCACTTGGAACATATGAATGTCTAAAGCTATTCCCTAGAGCACTCCAAGTGCAAGATGACATGTTGATTGTGGTGAGGGTAAGTCATATGGACTTTTAATGAATCCCTACCCTTGTAAAGGTGGAGTATAACAAGATACTTTTCATAGGGAGGTCACCTATATAAGTGTGAAGTGTGGGCCGCTTCAAATGTAAACGCTTATGAATCCATTGTGTTTTCCATGGCCAAAACGGACACAACGATAGAACGGAATGGAGTTAAGACTCTATTGTGTGAATGTCATTGTCTAGGTGTACACTATGGAGGAATAATTCAAGGCATTATGTTCACTAGTCCGCCAGTGCATCCGATGATGTTTACAAAGAAAGGTTCAAAGTCAAAAGCTACCTTTTCTGATGCAATAGAGTTTTGTGAGGATTGAGTACACTAGTATGCATATATTTAATTTACACTCATGTGGGGGATTGTTAGAAATTGTGAGTGTAAATTACCAACTAATATTCCAACCATTTGATGCTTATTCTTCCAACCAATTTGATGCTTATTCTCCTAACCATTTGATACTTATTCTTCCAACTAATTTGATGCTTATTCTCCCAACCATCACTTAAACTTGTGAATTTATTAAACCACTTGGATGTTGAATACTCAGACGTTTGATTCAACCAATTGTTATTAATGGTGTTATTAATGTGAGTGGTTGGGCAAGGGTGTATTAATTATGGTGACTTGCATCATCTATACAAGAGAGGACACATGCTGAAAAGAAGGAGACGAAAAATAAAAGAAGAGAAAGAGAAGTGGGAGAAAAAGGAAAGGAAGAGAGAGAAAAGAGGAAAGAAAAGAAAAATAGAAAAAGAAAAAAAATAATCTATATTTTTATTCTATTTTTAGTGCTCAATTCTCGACTCCGTTCTAGTTCGCCTGAGCTCATAAATCTGGTGTGCTACAGATTTAGAGACGTATGTCGTTGTATCTTTAGAGAAGTTACGCCTGAACCGTTAGCTGACACACATGGCGTATTCTTCTTGCGGAAAGAGTTTTACTCGACTCGGCTAAAATCTTTCCATTTTATTTTAATTTATTTTTCAATTGTAATTTATTTTTCAGTTCGATTGTAATTTTCTATTTTTAGATTATTTGGAAGAACTGAAAAAAAAAAAAATACATATCAATTCGTAGGATTCCCGTGTATTTTGACACCGATTTCTAACAGTCTGTCGGGTGCTATGATCAGCAATGTGGGATTCGTGCTCCATAACATCTACTCGGAAAGGAGCCTGCAGAGCTTTAAGGAGGTGAATGGGTTGAATTTGTACGACGTGATTAGTATAATCTCGTTGTTGTACCTTTACCCGGTGGCTATTTTTGTGGAGGGATCTCAGTGGGTCCCAGGGTATCACAAGGCTATATAGCTGCCACTAGAAAGCCCTTGACTTTCTATATGGGGGTGATGTTATCGGGAATATGCAATCATCTGTATAATCAGTCATCTTATGAGGAACTTGATGATATTAGCCGGCTTACTTTTTCGGTTGGGAACACGATGAAGAGGGTCATTGTTGTTGTGGCGGCTGTTTTGGTGTTTAAAAATTCAGTTAGGCTGTTAAATGCACTCGGGTCAGCTATTGCAATTTTCGGGACCTTTTTGTACTTGCAGGCCACGGCTAAGAAGCCTAAGGTGGAGAGAGCTGAGCAGAAGGATTAGAATGTGGTGATTTTGAAATTCTGTGTTTTGTTTCTTTGTATTTTTTTTTTTTTTCTTGTTCTTTCTAGTAGAAATGGAACTATTATGGCAGCTATTGTTTACTTGTTGGTTGTTGCTTGTTATGGGCTCAATGCATCAATCCTGAAAGTTGACGTTATAATTTCGTACATTACGCAGCTAAGTTTCATAGGGTTTGGGATCATGTTAGACTATGAGTTATCTTGTGTCATTTATCATCTTAATGTGCTGAAATACTAGGTACTTGTTGTGTTATTTCTGCCTCTAATGTGTGGTTAAAGAGTTATTTTTGGCATTATCCATTGCTAATTTATATACAGTTGCCGAATACATTATGCAGTTGCAGCTCATATTATTCCATGTTTCAATCTGTTTGAGTCTGAATTGTGTTGTTGCCTTTGGTTTGGTAGATGGCTGATGAGCGTATAATTAATTAATTATATTCCTTCTAAGCTTGAATGAAATTAGTGTGTCGATGATAAGATGTGGTAAGTCCACGATCATAGCATAGGATTTCTTCGTGTCATTTGGTGACTTAGAACATATTTGGACAACTTGTTAGTTTTTGCTTTCTTATACTTTAAAAAATAAAAATATGAAAATTTATAGTTTTTCATTCTCTACAAATAGAGATCACATTTGATAGGTTTTAGAACACAATTAATTTATCACTTTTCAAAATTAATTTATCTTATTGGAAAATGAAAACGTAAATCCATAATAAGAAGATGAACATGTTACTTAGAAAAATGAACATGTTATAGAATAAGATGAACATATTACATATTTACACAATAAGATGAACATGTTATCAAATAAGATGAATATGTTACAAAATGAGATGAACATGTTAACATGTATTATTTCATTCTGCAATCCGTAACATGTTCATCTAATTTGATAACATATTCATCTTATTATGTAACATGTTCATCCTATGTCAGTATAATAAATTGATTACGAAAAAAAAAATAATTATGTTAAAAAGACTTATCAAATGTGGTCTCAATTTATAGAGAATAAAAAATTATGAATTTTGGTATTTTTATTTTTTATTTTAATATAAATTATTAATGATATTTTAATTTATGTAATGTCTCATTTTCAATTAAAAAAAAAGGAAAGGAAAGTAGCATGTGTACTACAATTTCTCATTTTTCTGATTTTTGGGGGTGAATCCGCGCGTGCATAATTGCCTTGACACACCTTTTTAGGTGTGCCTGGGCAAACGGTAGTGCGCAAATACTTAGGTGGGCCAAGGCCTTTTGTGATATACAATTCCTCAAAAAAGCATGCGAGGTAAGGTTTTTTTTTTTAAATGGGACATGTGTGTAACGCCCCGTTCGTTTATTAGAATTTCACAGATTTTTAGATTAATTATTTATTTGCCTCTCTTCTATTTTAGTCGTAGTGCTCGACAATTTTTTTTCCCTTTTAATCTTATTAGAATTAAATAGATGTCCTCGTCTATTTAATTTTCCTAATTAATCAACTCAATCGAAAATCGAGATTTAAGAAGATGTCCTCGTCTTCTTAAATTCTTCTATGTGCTCTCATTGTACTAAATTGTTTTAAGTGTTTAAATTGCTATGAATATGCATCTTGTACCTATGTGTAATTTTATGTCTTAGTGTAATGTGTGCTTATGTGTAAGTGTTTAAGTTATTTTACCTGAGTACACTAGTCGAAGCTAGTTCTTTTATTTCCAAACTCCTTTTATTTAGTACAGTTTCGGCTCAATAATAGTCATCAGCAGCTCCTATTTAAATTTCGGCCCAAACATCAGTTGGCCTTATTTTTCCCCCAAACAGCTGGCCCAACTCACAACTTCAATCCAAGTCTCAATTTATTCTTTTTGGGCCCAAGAAGCTCATTTGAGCCCAATTCCAGTCCAACTAGCAGAAGCCGTGTGAATCATCTCTCTTTCGCCTTCAACCCGTCATTTTCTCTCTCAACCGCAAAACGGGTAGCCCACCTCAACGGACTCCATGAAATCCGGCGAATCTTCCAGGCGGCAACCCTAATTTTTCCATCTATTTAAGAAATCGGGCATCGGCCGCCTCTCATTGATTCTTCACTCGGGTATTTCGTCTAAATTTATCCGAACTCCTTCAGAAAAATCAGACCAAAATCGGCGAGTCTCGATCGAGCAACCGAGAGCGGCATCACCGGTGAGTTCCGTGCGCGCGGCTGAGACAAGCACCAGAGGCGGAAGAGCTAGACTTTTCGGCGACCAACGCTTCAGTTTCCGGCGATCGACGAGCACCCCGAGACCTCCAGTCCGACCGAGCCTCGACCTCTTTGAGCTCCGGCCAGCGACGAGGACGAGCGGCGAGGCAAGCTCTGTACGCGGCTGAGACCAGTTTTCGTCGACCGAGGACCACCGATGGACAAACGAGCAGCGCCAGAGAGCTTCAATTGCCGGCGACTGTGACCTAATCGCGACCCTTGAGCTCCGACCTCCGATCTCCAGTCGTGACGATGAACCCAACCGAGCCCAGACGGTCGGACGAGTACCAAGAACACCAGATCTCCGGCGAATTTCGGTCAGCGGCGATCGGAGTGCTGTCCGACGACTTGTTCTTGGAACAGGTTCGTCTTCTGTTTCCGAAGACCGTCCTCGGCGCCCGACCTCGTCCGATGAGCCATAGCGCCGGTCGGCTTCTTTTTCGAGCAGCGGAAGCCCCGTCGTCCGGCAATGAGCAGCCGACGACTCACGAGCAACAGCAAGCCCTGTTCTCAGCCAGGCGACCTTCGAACATAGCAGCGGCACCCCGTCGGCTTTCGTCTAGGGCCCGAACAGCAGCGACAGCCCTTTCGGGTCTCGTGTGAGAATAGCGGCAGCCGTTCCAGGCTTTATCGAGCAGTCGGTTTCGGCTTAGAGCAGCAAATAGAAACTTAAAGCCCCGAGCCCCTGCCTTTCTCGGTTTTCACGGTAAAATGGCTGAATCCTTTAAGTCATGCTTTTAGCTGAGTTGCTGTTGAGTTTGAGGATAAAAATCAAAAAGATTGTCATGATCTGTTCGAAGTTTGCTGAACCTTATTTATGAGTGTTTTATGTATTGAAATATCAGACTCAAAAGTTCAAGGCATGCTGAGGTGTTTAATGAATTTTTGATTAGTAAGGTGCTGGGATGTGTTATTAGTTATGTGCCTTACATGTTTATTGTTTGGTTAAGGCTGTAACATGCGTTTGAGTGGAAGCTGTTGATTATTGGTTTGGAAGCTGTTGATTATTGGTTTTGTGCTGAGAGTATAAGTAATGAGGTGCAAATATTTCTTTAGTGTGTACAATTATTATCGAGGCACCGTACGTATGGTTTTAGTGCTTCATATTTATGCCCGCAATTTTTTTTAGGTCAAATATTAAAACCTACATGCTTGTTATGAGTTTGGTACTTATTGGAAGTGCTGCATTTTTTTTTTAAGTTTAGGTAAAGATGATTGAGGTGCTATGCTTATAATTTGAGCTAAAAATCGGTTTAGTGGATATCTTGAGTGTGCTGCCATATTATTTAGTCTAGTATATTTATAATTGAAGTGTCGTGTATAACTTTAATTATAATTGAGGTGCTTGGCAGAAATATTTGAGGATGTTTCAAGACATGCTTTATTTAGTTAGAATTTATGTGATTATATTTGCCTATTTTGGTTGCATTATGCGCTCGTATCTGCAATAACTGGCCTCCTACTTACTTCTGTGGCCTAATCAACCCAATTAAAATCCATAACAATAATTAAATCCCTAAAATGTAGGTTTTGAGGAGTCGAGCTCTCAGTCTACTAATCGTCTGTTCGAGTAATTCTCTGCGATTTCCAGGTGGGTGTTGATAAACTTACCATGTATGTTAATTTCTATAAATGTTTGGCTTGATGATCTATGTATGCATGTGAACCGGTAGTCTATGAGGCCTAACTCTAGCCTTTAGAGAGCTTAGTCCGTGATGTTTCATGTGCGGTTGCTCCCGTCCTTTTCGTGGGGATGGTCTCGTCTTTTTTGTGGGGACGACTTGTTTCCTATCTTTTTTCGGGATTGATAGGTTAGGTGTGATTACATAAGCATGACTGTGTTTAGGGAGGGTAAACTAGCCGAACTGCTTACATACTGCGCCCATGATTTTAAGTCTTTATATTAATTATACTGCATGGTATTCCCACGGTAAGCTAGTTGTTTGCTCACTCTCACTATTAACCATCTTTTCAGGTTGAGCTGGTGGCTGTGGCGAAAGACGAGCGAGGCAGGGTCAAATTTATTTGCTATTTTGTTATGTTATTGCTTCCGCCTGTTTATTATTATTGATTTATCTGTCAGACATGTTGAATTATTGAGATTTGAGATTGAATTATGTATTTGGATATTTCGTATGCTATTATGAAATCAGATATTTTTTATGTTGAAATTTATTCGAGATTTATTATCATGTGGAAACCAAATCGTTTTTTATTGGGATTTATGTAACTTGAATAATATTTGGAATCTGGTTTGATTTGGATATTATCATTATGTTGATCTGGATATTTCGCATGATGGAATAAATGTTGTATGACTTGAGATTTGAATGTGGGATGGTTGTATCTGATGGTTAAGTGTGGACTTAACAGTTGTTATGTGATTATTCGAGTAGCGTCCGTTAAATAATTCTTTAATAATGTTTTTGAAAAATTAACTTTGATTTTTGGAAAAATAAAATGTTATTTTTCTCTTAAAATTAACGGGGCGTTACGATGTGGCCCATTTCTATTGGATAATGAATTTTATATATCATATTATATAAGTTAAATTATCATTCGTATTTTATATTAAAATATAAAAATAAAAATACCAAAATTCATAATTTTTCAGTCTCTACAAATAGAGATCACATTTGATAGGTTTTAGAACACAATTAATTTATCACTTTTTAAAATTAATTTATCTTATTGGAAAATGAAGACGTAAATCTATAATAAGATGAACATGTTACATAGTAAGATGAACATGT